CTTTTTTGTTATATTAGCCACTCTGATAGGTGTGAGGTGGTACTTCAGAGTTGTTTTGATTTGCATATCTCTAATCAATAGTGATTTAGAGCATTTTTTCATATGACTATGGATAGCTTTGATTTGTCTGAAAATTGCTTGTTCATATTCTTTGACCATGTATCAATTGGGGAATGACTTGTATTAAAAATTGTTTTTACATGTAATTGGGGAAAAATAAAATATTAAATTCTTAAACTAGAAAAAAAAAGCTAATTGTAAGGTACTATTAAGAACTATATTTTCCTACAGGTATAATTATACTACTATGCTGCAACACCCATGTTCAAACCAAACTAAACTGCTTTTTGGCCAAAACTGATCAATTGTGGGGATTTTTCCCAGAGTACAAATACATCTTTAATTTCATAATGGAAATCAACAGGAAAAAAGCACTTACTTTACATAAAATTATATACAAAGTATATATTAAAAGTGTGAAAATAACATATCCCAAACATAATAATATTCCTAATATGCAAACACATTAATTCTATGACATTAAAAAGGAATATAATTCATCTACAGCATCTCACACCCATCCCCTTCTATTTTTTCATATAACAACTACTCTACCAGGCCACTGCAATTGTTTCCTAATTGATCATCCCACTTTTAGTATCTATTTATCTGTCATAGCTGCTATATTGTTCATTCTAAATTACAGATCTTGGCCATGATGTGCCCCTGCTTAAGGAACTTCAGTGACAGGTTTCCAAATAACTATAACTATTAACCTTTAGTTGATGTTCTCTCCTTCCTCAGACATACCTAGGACACTTTGTTCTACCTTTCATTTCCCTTAGACCTTGTTATTATTCATCTGTGTACATGTTTCATACCCCCAGAAGAATGTAAGGTCAAAGATGGCAGGGTCTTTTTCATTGTTTTTGTATATCCAGTGCCTAGAATGTAGTAGGTATTTAATGATTGAGCCATTTACACACAAACTTTTCAACTTTAGTTTTGATGTAAATTTTTTAAAAATATTACACTTGTTTATCTTAGAAAGCAGGATATGTTGACCATGAGTTAAAATTTTTTTTGATTACCCAGAGTCATTATGAACAATTATTATCCTACATTATATTACAGCAATGGTCTCAGAAAACACTAATAATGGCTACTCTACAATATTAAATTGGTATCCCCTTCTTCTGCCACTAGTGTCTCTATTCTTTATGGTCACCAAGTTTGCTTCCAGCTATCCTTGACTAATCTCTGCTACAGATTCTGTTGTCCATCATTCCCTTTTTTTCTTTTCCCTGCTCTTTGACAGCTTCCATGATCTTAGTTGCCAAAACCAACGGGTTTTTTCTCAATCCTCATTCTCCTTGACCTCTGCAGTCTCTGACACTGTTGATCTCTCTCTCCTTTTTGATACTGTTTTCTAAGTTTTTGGGACACCATTCTCTCCTGGTTTTCTTCCTACCTATCAGACTACTCCTTCTCTACCTCCTTTGCTGGATTCTCCTCCAGATCATACCTTCTAACTATAAATTTTATCCAGGTTTTGTCCTGGGTCCTCTTCTCTTCTTCCTCTATACAACTCTACTTGGTGATTTCGTCAGCTCCCATGGATTTAATTACCATCTTTATGTTGATGATTCTCAAATCTACCTTTCCTGTCCCAATCTTTCTCCTAATCTCCAAATTCTAATTTCCAACTGCATTTCAAACATCTTGAACCAGATGTTTAATAGACATCTTAAACTCAATTATGTCAGAATTTATTATCTTTTCCCCTAAACCCTTCCCCCCTTCCAACCTTCCCTACTGTTGTAGAATGCAAAACCATTCTGCTAGTCTCTCATGCTTACAACCTAGGAGTCATCCTGGATTCCTCACTATTTTTTACCCCTCATGTCCAAGCTACTGTCAAAGCCTGTTGATTTTACCTTTCCAACATATTTCAAATATTCCTCCTTCTCTCTTCTGCCACTGTCAGCATTCTACTGCAAGCTCTCATCATCTCATGTCTTGACTACAACAACAGTCTACTGGTGGGTCTGCCTACCTGATTCTCTTTCCACTCCAGGCCATCTTCCATATATCCACTTAAGTGATTTTCCTAAAATATAGGTCTGATCGTGTAAACTCCAGTGGCTTCCTATTGCCTCCAAAAGCACATACAAAATGCTCTGTTTGGCAGTCAAAGCCTAGCCCCCTCATACCTTTCCAGTCTTCTTGCACCTTATTCCCAACATGTACTCTTTAATCTAGTGCCACTGTGCTCCTGCTGTTCCACAAACAAGACCATCTCTCAGTTCTAGGCAATTTTTTTGGCCATCCCCCAAGCCTCCCTCTTCTTCCCTGCCTACTGACCTCCCTGGTTTCCTTTGAGTCCCAACTAAAATTCCACCTTTTACAGGAAGCCTCTCTTAACCCCTCTTAATTCCAATACTTTCCCTTCAAAAATTATTTCCTATTTATCCTGAATATAGTTACTTTGTATTTGTTTGTGTGTTGTCTTCCCCATTAGACTGTAAATGCCTTGAGGGTAGAGATTGTCTTTTGCCTCTTTTTGTATAGACAATGCTTAGCCCAAAGCTTGGCAATAGTAGATACTTAATAAATGTTTATTGAATTAAATTAATAAATACTCTCTCCTGCTAACTTGGGCAAAGGACTTAACTTCTCTGAGCCTAAATTTCTTCATCTACAAAATTTGTATCACATGACATCTAAAATAACTCAGTCCTACAATTCTATTAATCGATTACATAATCAATGAAAAACAAGGCCTTGAAAAAGATGAGATCGCTTCCCCCTTTTTTTCCCTCCTTTCTTATAGAACAAATTATACAGCATCAATTCTTTCATTAGAAAGATTTTAAGGGGCAGCTAGATGGTGCAGTGGTTAGAGCCCGGCCTTGGAGTCAGGAGGACCTGAGTTCAAATCTAGCCTCAGACACTTGATACTAGCTGTGTGACCCTGGGCAAGTCACTTAACTGCCTCACCAAAAAAAAAGAAGAAGAAGAAGAAAAAGAAAGACATTTAGAAAAGCATCAAAGAGAGCATTTGAAAAGAATACATATAACCACATGAATATAATTAAGGGACCTAATAGAGCAGGAAAATAGAGAAAATACTTCTCTGTAATATTAAAAACACTAGTTTTAGAATCAAAGGATTTGAGACTTGACACTGCCACTTAAATTGTGTGACTTTTGCAAAGTACTTCTGAGCCTCAGTTTTTTTGCCTGTAAAAAGTAAGATAAAATTTGCCCTTCATACTTCATCAAGTATAACGTAGTGGCAAAAATACTAGATTTGGAGTCGATAGGATTTGGATCCAAATGTTAACTCTGTCATTTATTCTATATTCTGCTAGTCATAACTACTCAGGCCTCAGTTTTCCATCTATAAAATAAGGGGTTCAGATAAGATGAGCTCTAAGCTCTACTCTAGCTTTATCTGGATAATATAGGAAATACATTTTCTAAGCTTGATAAGCTGTTCTTATAGAGTTTTACCTTTTTGTAAGCAAAGAAACATCATGTAAGCCAATTTTTTTGCTTACTGTATTTTGTATGTTTGCCAGACTATTCTCTCTTTTGCAATCCATTTAAAGCTCTGCCAGGACTTTTTATTTTTCTTCTGCCAGAAAACTGTAATTAGTGGACAGTCTGTAGAACATAGTGTCACCAAAAAAGATTGGAAGAATCTATTAGCATATGCAAATATTCAGGATCTCAAAAAAAATCAACCTTTAAAAGTATTTGAGTAATAGGAAATGAAGATGTCTTACTCTGGTAGTTCAAAAAAAGTTAAAATAACCAGTAAACTGGTCTTTCATTAGAAGTATCCTACCAAAATCACCATCCCCAAAACTACATTTTATAAGTTTTAATTTTTTACGTAAGTCCAACCAAAAAATAAAGTACTTAAGTGTTTAGATATCACATCTGGCTTTCTTTTTATGAAACTATTTCACAACTAGCATCTAACAAAATGGGCAGTACTACTATGGCTATAAGTGCTACAATTAAATAGAAAATTACATTTACAACCCCCCCCAAAACCCTAAATGTTAAAACTGTCAAAGTCTACAATTTAAGTTATCATGAAGATGTCTTTTTATGTAATATTATATAGCTATGCTCACTGATAAATGTCCAGTCTATGTTTATATTAATTCCTTATACATAAGAATATCGGGCAATAAACATTTATTAAGCACATACTATGTGCCGGGCACTGTGCTAAGTGTTGGAGATACCAAAAAAAAAAAAAAAAAAAAAAAGGCAAAAGATAGTCCCTGTCTTTAAGAAGCTCACAATCTAATGGGAGAAGACAACAAACAAACATGTACTTAACGGAAGAAGAATTAGGTGATATTATGAGAATTTAAGATCCATTATGTGGTTTATAGATTGGATTTTTTTTTGTGCATCAAATATACATTGGCTGTAAACAAAAATGAAAAAAGTACAGTCATAAAAATATTTTGTTGGTAATTTCACATAATGATGGGTAACTGTAAATATTTTTTTCTTTATTAGTATGTGCATAAATATGTGTGCATAAATGATAATTATGCCTGAAAATAGCGAATTGCATGTTTTTCATAGGAATTGTTTAAAAATATTTAATAAAGGGCCAATTAAAATGACAAAAGATGACTTAAGAAGAAATAGGATAAATAATTATTCTCCACTTCTGTGTACCACTCCATATTTCTGTAGTAATTATATTTATACATGTGGATAGCACTAAAAAAGTCTGGGGCAAGGAAAGAATGATAAAATTATTATACACTTAAATTTCTTTCAGGAATGAATATAACCTCTTAAATGGAAATTTTTCTGTTGCCTTTTTTTGTGACAAATGCATACAATCATTTGAAATGGAAAATTTTATATAGTATGTAAAATGCCAGTATATAATGATAATAGTACTGGTATCTGAATTATAAAGCTAAACAACTGATACTTTAAAATGTTTAGTATTTTGCTAGTAAATATAATAAATGAATGTTTAAAAAAGTTGATAAAAGAAAACCTGATAAAACCAGTAACAGTAATCTAGTAACGTGTCATATAACATTGACCAAATTTCATAGACGATCCTTTAATAACAATTTTCCTACTTAACCACACCAGGTACCAGCAGGTGTACTTAAAAAAAATAACTATTATGAAAATCTAGTCACTCTAATAGTTGGATTAAATTGATCTGACTTGTATGTATATATGTACACACACACACATACATACATACACACACACACACACCTCTTTTATAATTCTCAAATAATACATATCTAGGCAGTTTGAACTATGTTATAAAAATTTTAATTCAGTACATGCCAATAGTAGTGAAATCAAGTTTTAAGTGTTGGAATTCACTAAAAGTGAAAAAGATTACCAATAACACTGCATAATGAATGCTCTACCACATTTTCATGGCACTTTTAACTTTGGATATCAAAATGTTAATTCTGGAAATGTGGTCTTTAGTGTAGATTGCAACAAAATTATTAATCCTAATGCACTTATATTTTATGTAAAACATGTTGTAGGCTGAGCATAAATGTTTGTCATGAAAATGTGGCATGTGTTGGCCAAAATATTTGTATTTTACAGAGAAGTGACTAAAGAAATTGGAAAAAAGTAAACTTTAATGAGACTCTCCATTTAATGATGAGGCTTCTCCTCTGGGTGAAGATGACCTGGACATTCCTCTCTCTGTATTATCAGAGCTAGAACCACTCTGACTATGATGATCTGCAGAAGCAGCACTAGATGCAGGTGATGACTTAGTTTTCTCCTTAAAGTCTGTAATAATGACTGTCAGATCTCCAACGGTCACTTCCAAATGCTGAGCGCTACTCCGATCCACATTTTTCAATCGTGGCCTAAATGAAATTTATAACATTTAAAACTAGTTTTCCCCTCTAACACAATTTCTGTGAAATTTATGTGCAAAATTTACATGAAAAATACATCTGTGTAAAAAGCAAGGTATCTAGTATAAGAAGCATGCCACCACTACACTGATTATTAAAAAATATGGCAATGTTTACTATTCAGCAATAGAGCCACAACAGAATGGTTCCAACCATAAAGTCTTATCGAAATCAAATGTGAAACATTTAACATAGTGGCACAACAATTACGTAAAAGGATATGGTCTGAACCAATGTTATAAATATGTGCTAATGTACAATTTCTGCCAAAATATTGTAGAGAATTCAGCAATAATATGTCTCATTATCAATACCAGTTTTTCACTGAAGTTTTATGTAACTGATGACTAAAAATTATGGTTGGAACAGTCTAGAATGCTTATTCCAAAGAGTGTGCTGATATATAGGCTAAGAGTAGTCAGTCATTAAAAAAAAAAAAAAAACAAATGGCTAATTCACATCCTATTAAGTTACATATGTGAAGAGTTCCATTTTTAATTTTTATGATTTAATTTCTAGGACCTTGTGAAACCAGTCAAAACTTTAAAGTTATTTTTATGCACATAATTGAATACATATTAAATCTTCAAAAAAAAAAAAAAAGAAAAATGTACAGATTTTCCAAATGCTACAAAATACGTTTCAGATTTACCTGGTTTTCTTATGACTGTTCTTTTTGCTAGTTGTTTCTTTTTCACTTTTTTCCTTTTCTAATTTATCTTTTTTCTCTTTCTTTGATTGTGGGGGGGGCACAAATTGCTGGGTAACTTGCTGTGCAACCAACTGGGAGACAGGTCGAGGTTTCCTGTGTACATTTTAAAAAATAATTTTATTGTATTTCAAGAAAATGTTCTTATAGAATATTATGTAAAAGAAGTACAAACTATGACTTCCAGATTATTTACAAGTGAAAGCTGGATTGTAAAATTTAAAGAGAAAATAAATTACTTTGCTTTTTCTGTTAACATTTGGGAAAACTAGGCCAATTTATGATATAATATAGTTAAAGCATTCAGAGCAATAGGAATCAACTTAATTATAAGATTTATTAATATGTAAAATAAAGCAAGCCATCAAACCAAATGTTTATGGTATGTACAACATATATAATGAATACAAATCATTAAAGCATAAGTATGGATTACTGTGTGCTGGTATTATATAATCTATGCTTACAAGCAGATTTTGATAAATTCAGATATTTACTAAGTACCTGATACATCTAAAGTATTGAAAGCAGAACACTGTTCTTTTCCTGAACACATATAGAGACAGGCTTCTTTAATTATTCTGCGAGTCAAAATGTCTTATTTCTAACCAAAATCTATCCATCTTTATTTGAAAACCTATTTTTCCCTTGTAAAGCAGGCAAAGAGAATAACCTCAGAACCTTTCCCCTAAAGTAGGGGAAAAGCTATCCTTTTTAGCATGAAGTCAACAATTCTAGTTCCTCTAATTTTTCCTTATAATTGACTTATTTTTTTTTTTTATCATTTCACTGATCTACTCTGGAGCTCAATTTTTTTTCTTAATTTTTTTGTCATCCTTTTGAGTGTACATGAACCTTTTGTAACAAGGGATGTTCAATTTAAAAAGCTGAAGACAAAAAGCATTAATAAAACTCACTTTGAAAACTTAAAAAAAAAAGTAGTGACCAAAATTATACATCATTATATAGTAAGGGTCTAAATAATAAGAAACACAGTGAAAGGTTTCTCAGCCTTTGCATTCACTGTACTGATTTTCAATATCATACTGGCTTTCTTCACAATAACATAATAGAGCTTTATGGTTTAACAAAGGTAAAATATTATCCCCATTTTGCAGATAAAGAAACTGAGCCTCCAAGAAGGTAAATGACTTGCCCAAGGTCTCACTGAGTATCAAATTTAATTCAATGTCATAAACATTTTATTTAACAAACATTTCAGTGTAATTATTATATGAAAGACACTTTCATAGGCACTATGTATACATTATTATTATAAAGCTGGAAGGCAAGTAGGAACCAGATTATGAAAGGCTTTAAATGTCAAGCAATAGATTTTATATTTTATCATAAAGGCAGTAAGGAGCCATTAAAGATTTTTGATCAAGGGAAGGAATATGGCCAGATCTTTGACTTGGGAAGATGATTTGTGAAATGTGGAGGTTGGGTTTGAGAATGGGAGAGACAGATCAATTAGGAGGCTATTGGAACATTTCAAGTGAGAGATAATAAGGGATGCAATTAATCTGGGGTTTCTCCACAATGTATGTGGAGAAAGGGGGCCAGATGCAAGAAACCTAGGTAGATAAAACTAAGATTTAAAGCAAGTATTCAAACTTAAGTCACTTGTTTCTCAGTCTAGCACTTTCCCCACTAGTTCATGCTGATTTTTTTCACTATTAGTATATGTTTTTCTAAGTAGATTTTAGGCAAGGATTATGACTTGGTCCTTTTTAATACTGCAGAGGTCTGTATAGGGCTAGGCACAAGTAGAATTTTTAATATTTAACTGAAAAGATTCCAAGGGATAATACAATAAAAATTTTAAAGAATCTATTGTGCATAGGAGGCAATAGGAAGACAACGAAGATTTGAGAAGAGGACTGATGGTAGCGACCCCCCTAGGTTTACAGTACCTGTTCCCTTCTCCCCATTTACCGAGTGGGTCTCACAAATAAAGCTAACCCAGGTTCAAAGTACTCTTTGGATCTATAACCACGAATGTGTGTATCTTTACAACCAAAGTACATAACAGTCAAATGAACACTGAAAGTACATAACTAGTTCAAAGCAAAGGCATTCAATGTAATAACATGAAAAAAGTAGTAAAAACACATTATATACCTGGTCAAGAATATCAGTGGAAGAACATATAGTAATAAGCATTTATTAAGCACCTACTAAGTGCAAGGCATTGTACTAAGTGCTGAGGATACAAAGAATGGTAAAACACAAGCCCTTGCTTTCAACAAGCTCAGGCTAATAAAGGCAACAACATACAAACAACTATATACAAACACACTAAATGTAGGACAAACAGGAAATAATAGAGAGAAAGCACTAGAATGAAAAGGAATTAGAAAGGCTTCCCACAAAAGGTGAGATTTTAGCTGGGAATTGAAGGAAGCCAGAGAAGCCAGGATGCAGAGATGAGGAGGCAGAACATTCCAGGCATGAGGAACAGGCAGTGAAAATGCCCAGAGAAGTAGAAGATGGAATATTGTGTGTGACCATCATCAAGAGGGCTAGTGTGACTGAAGTGCAAAGTGTGTAGGGGAGTGTAAAGTATAAGACCGGAAAGGTACTAGGGGAGGAGGTATAAGTTAAAAAGGGCTTTCAATACCAAAGACAAGATTTTTTATTTGATCCTGAAGGCAATAGGGATCCAACAAAGGTGTGTACATAGGGGGAAGAGCATGAGGTAGGGTCAGGGGTCAGCAAAATTGTCAGACCTTTGCTTTAGGAAGATCACTTTGATAGGTGAGTGGAAGATGAACCGATGTGTGGGAGAAACATTTGTGGCAAAGAGACCAATCATCAGCCTACTGAAATAGTTCAGGAGTAAGACAATGAGGGCCTACCCCAGGGTAGTGGCAGTGTCAGAAGGTGATATATATGAAAGAGTTTAAGAAGGTAAAAAAAAAAAATCGACAGGCCTTGGCAACAGATTAGATAATGGGGGAAAGGGATGAGAGAGTGAGGGGTCAAGGATGACACTTAGGTTGTAACCTTGGGGGACTAAGAGGATGGTAGCACTCTTGCAAGTAATAGGAAAGGAGGAGAAGAAGATTTGGGAGAAAAGTTCAGTTTGGGATGTTTAAAGGAAATACAGTTTGAGATGTCTAATATTAGACACTTGGAGATGGGAGACTAGAGGTCAGCAGAGGGGTTAGAGTTGGATAAAAATAAATCTATAAGAGCTGATGAGATCACCAAATGAAACAGAATAGAAAGAAATGAGATGAGGATTTGGGACAGAGATATTCTGTGAGAAAATCATGGTTAGTGAACATGACTTACATGAAGATCTATGAAAGGAGATCTGAGGAGGAGAGTTCATATAGGCAGGAGAACCAGGAGAGAGCAATATCAAAAAAACATAGAGAGAAAAAAGTATCAAGGAAAAAAAGGGTGATCCATAGTGTCAAAGGATGCAGAGAAGGATGAGGATTGAGAAAAGACAATTTTGAGATCTGGCAATTAAGATATCATTAGTAACGTTGGAGAGAGCAGTTTTCATTGAATCAGTAGCGAGAATGTAGAAAGTTAAGAGAGTGAAAGGAAAAAGTGGAAACACCTGTTGTAGACAGCTTTCTCAAGGTGTTTAGTTACAAAAGAGAGGAGAGATAAAGGACAATAACTAGTGGAGTGGATGGATCAAGTGAGGGTTTTTGGAGGACAGAGACACAAGCCTATATAATACTACACACTGTGTTCAGAGCTGTCCATCTTCGATTCCTTGTGAGTTTTCTTTTGTTCTCTGCTGTGCACTTTTTACTATGTTCTTTTTCTTCCCCCTTTCTCCTCCTTATCTCCAATAAGGCTACAATTAAGCATGGATACACACATACACACACACATACATATGCACGTGCATGTGCACATGTACACATATATATACATATACATACACATACACAAATATATACATACACATACATATATTTAGATATCTGTAATCATAATCATATATAGACATATATATTCATTTGCATCTATGTAAGACTGTACTATATTTGTTTATCCTCTGTTTCTCTGAGGGTGGTTAAACATATTTCATAAGTCCAAGTCCTTCCATATTTTTCTAAGTCCACCAATTCATCATTTTCTACACCACAGTAATATTCCAATTTTATATTGTCTAGTTATTTTAAATAGTCTAAAACAATATTGATTAATGTGGCTGACATTTTTCTCTTGATTAAATCTATTTTAGCTTTAACTTTGTCTGAGATCACAATTACTACCCGTTTTTTTTCATAATAAATTCTACTCCTGATTTTTATTTTTTGTATCTCTTTTTTCCTGTCCCTCCTGACTCCTCTACTTTACTTCTGCCTGCTACCTTGCCATCCCATTACTTAACCTACTCCCCTCCAAAGATCCCTCTCTTGTCCTCATTTCTATCTGAATTTAGAAGACTTTTATAGCCTTCTAAATATATGTTATTCCCTTTTTATCCCATTCCCGTTAATCTAGACACCTTTCCATACCCCCTCTTTATCCTATTCCCTCACTCTCTTATTTCTTTATAAATTCAGAAGACTTTGATTCCCTTCCAAATGTATACATTCTCTTTTTCACACAAATCTAATGTGAGTAGGCTTCCCTCTAAAAATCTCTCCCTTATCCTCTCCCCTGCCCCAGTATGCTCTTAGTCTTTTATTTCTTTCAAAATTTAGACAACTTTTATGCTCTTCTAGATATATATGTATTGTTCCCTCTTTTACCCATTCCCAATGAGTGTAGAGTTCCAGAACTACCAGCCCTCTTCCCCCATCTAAGTCCTCTATGTCAGTTTTACCTTTTGCTAAACGGTTTTACTTTTCAGGATCACATCATACTCAGGTCTACCCCAATCTTTCTTTTGAACTACCCAATTACTGATTATAATCTTAGACATACATATTTATATTTCCTCATATAAAAAGTAAATGGTCCATCCTGATTGAGTCCTTTGTAATTAGTCTTTGACGTGTACCTTATATTTCTCTTGGATCTTGTATATCAAATTTTCTATTAAGTTCAGGTTTTTTGTTTTTGGCAACAAAATCCTGAAAGTCTGGCTATTCATTCAATGTCCATTTTTTTTTTTT